CACCCTTATTTTGCCAGATTTATTAGGCAGTGACCATTACACGATCATGGTTCAGGTCAATTGTCTGATGCGCACTTCCACTGTTTTTTCATATAAAGTCAAACTCTCTAAAGCCCAACGAGACTATATGGAACTCTATTTATATAACAACGCAAACTCTATCTCTCAAGCTGTTAGAGACATTAACCCTGACGACCCTGTCTCTCATACAATACTTTTATGAATCTCATCTCAGCTAGCTATGAACGTTTTTCCCCCTCTAAACCTCCTCCTTCTACTAAAACCTCTCGAGCATCTTTTACTAAGAAGGGTCCCCCTCCCACTCCTTGGTGGATACCGGATTGCACAGCGGCAGTAAGAAGACGCAGCAATGCCCTCAAAACCTATAAGTAGTCTCCCACATGGGACAATTATGTCTTCTATCGGTCGGTTGTCTCACAAACCAGTAAAATCCTCCGCAGGGCTAAGCGTGTTAGTTGGAGAAAGTTCTGTTGTTCTCTCGATTGTAAGACTCCTACCGTGGACATTTGGCGGATGCTTAAGCGTTTTCGCAATCGTCACCTTATTCCGGCCAACTCCTTTGCTACGAACAAGAATGCAGATCTCTCTCCCGTTATTACAGATGCTATTAACCGACTCTGTCCTCCTTTCTGTCCTCCGTCTCCCCCCGTTCCCTCCTTACGATTCTCTGGTAACTTAGCCTGGCTCGACGCTCCTTTTACTCTTAACGAGCTCCAATCTGCTCTACACTCGGTCAAATCCTCCTCCAGCCCTGGCCTCGATAGGATAGATTATCGTATTACAAAAGCGTTCCCTAAAGAGCTCCTATCCACTTTACTTTATATCTTTAACAATCTTTTCCGCTGCTCCATTTTTCCTTCTCAATGGTCCCATTCTTTAATCCATCTCATCCCTAAGCCTAATAACAAGGGTGTTCGTCCTATCTCTCTCACTTCTTGCCTTCTCAAGATTATGGAGAGGATGATTTTGGGCCGCCTATATTGGCTTATAGAATCCCCACAGTCTGAATTACTCCCTGAGAATCAATTCGGCTTCAGGAAGTTTCGATCATGCCAGGACGACCTCACCGCTTTGACCGCCAGTGTCCATCTTGGGTTTCTCTCCGGACAAGAGACCGTTGCGATATTTGTAGATATCAAATCGGCTTTTGATAACGTCCTTCCGCATATCCTTTTACATGATCTCTGCAACTTACAATTTCCTCCTCTTCTGGTATCTTTCATCTCTAACCTTATTTCCCATCGTACGGTCCAGTTCGTTTGTCAAGGTTCTATTTCGGCGCCTAGATCTTCATATAAAGGCACCCCTCAAGGCTCCGTACTCAGCCCCATGCTCTTCAATTTATACTTAAGAAACGTAAGTGATGCACTCCAGATACAGAACTTCTTCAATTCGCTGACGATATTGTCATCTTCTCAACTCATAAAGATACTAGGTCAGCTATCCTATCAACATCTCTTCAGGCACTGGAATTGTTTCTTCAAGTGCGCGGCCTTGAGATCTCACTGCCTAAAACACAACTCATGATATTCTCGAACAAAAGATCTTCAACTCTCGCTAATTCTTCGATTTCTCTTCAAAACCAATATATTGTCCCTTCTTCTACTGTTCGCTTCCTTGGGGCACTACTCGACCCTAAGTTATCTGGCAAGGCTCATATGACATACACTATCAACAAAGGCAAGCGCATACTTCAGATCATTCAGGCACTTATTGTTAGAGGTACCTGGTGGGGGGCCCATCCTCACATGTTACTTACCATCTACAGAACTATGCTTAGAGCGTCTATTGAATACTCTGCACATATCTTTGGCTTGAAACATAATAGTCTTTCTCGCTCACTCCAAGTAGTTCAAAATCACCCTCTCCGCCTTTGTTATGGATACCGTATTTCCACGCCTCTAAATATCATCTACGCTGAGACGATTGAACTCACCCTATCTCACCGCATCCGTCTTCTTACATCACGTTACTTTCTCAAAATTTCATCTGTTAATGGCCACATTGTTATTAATAAATTACTCCTACTCTGCGATACCGCCATTGGCTCTCATAAAACCAACTATTTACACGCCCATTACCCAGCCGCTCTCATTTTTTATCGTATTTGAACTTTTTATCATTCAACTATTGGTTGCTCTTTTACTTTACCCAGCTTTCGTTCCTCCGTACATTCCACTTCTATTTCTCTCTCTTACGACTCCCTCTCTCTCCCTCCTACTGATATCTCTAATTTCTGGGCCCATTCCAGATGCTCAATCCTTCTTTAACCAGCATCTCACCGCGGACTCGGTGTTGTTTTACACCGATGGATCTAAGGTGGATCATAGTATGCATGTTGGCGCGGCGGTCTTCTCCCCGCAGTTGAATGCTGAGCTCATGCTCAAGCTTCCACCTTTCACCTCGGTCTTCTCCGCTGAAGCCTATGCTATTTATACCGCTATTACTTTATCTATCGATCTTAAACTTCCTAAAGCTTCCATCATCACTGACTCCAAGAGCGTCCTGGAAGCCGCCAAAGGCTATCGCAATTCTACAAACAACTATCTTATTCCTCTTATTAAATCTGCACTGGAAGAAGCCGAGACTTCAGGAACGGATATTAGATTTATATGGATCCCCTCGTATAGAGGTATCGAGGGCAACGAAAAGGCAGATCAGCTAGCTAAGCGCGCTATTCGACACGGTATAGAACGAAATTTCAAAGTTCCTTACTCGGACCTTTGCGCGGTTATCAAACTGGATATCTTTAATAATTTTTATCGTCAATTGGAATCTCTGGCAGATATCAAAGGCTCTTTTTACTTTTCAAAAATATTTAACAAATCCTCCAAACCCTGGTACTTTCGCATGAAGGTCTCCAGGGAAACCATCGTCATGATCAATCGCCTGCGCTCCGATCATTATATTTTAAATCATAGCTTACATCGAAAAAATTTAGTCGACGACCCCTCTTGTCCTTGCGGTTCTCCAAAACAGGACATTTTGGATATGATCTACGATTGTCCCGATGTTTATGAAGGTGCGCGCTTTTTAAGGCGTGTCGACCGAGTCGCTCCAACTGGCGACAGACTAGCTAAATTTGCCCTTGCTATCTCTAAACTGTCTGAATGCTTATGCAGACTCATTCTCAATTTCAGTAAGTCATGTTGCAGGCAATTTTAGGCGTTAAACTTTCGCGCCTCCTTGTGACCTGCGCAGGCGCCCAGCCCTGCGCTCGCTCTTGCCTCCCCCCTGCCATCCTAGCAAAGCTCTGCTCCGCTTTTCATAAGGCTCACTGTTGCGAGGTTCCGGCGCGTCATCCCGTTATCATCTGTTTTACGTCTTTCTTAACTACTCGTATACTCCTTATTCTATTGTTTTTATCTTTCGGACGTGATCTGGCCATATCGTCCTCCTATTAGACCGAAGGCATATGAAGCGGTAAAAGTAAAAGCGGAACGGTTTTGGCGGTAGTGGCGGAAATCCAGCGACCAATCGGAGCCTTTCTGCATTTTTCGTACCGCAAAAATGCCGCGGAACCATTGACGTCACGGGTCACGTGATTTTCGTTGTAGTCTAAACGTTTTCGCGGTGATCGCAAAAAAGTTGAAACGCAGCTTGTTTGTTGTTACGGTTACTACCAAAGAAAGTTTTAAGAATTTGAAAAGGAATAATCACGTATTTAGATTTAGATCGGGTGCATATATTTCAGAAAGATGGCTTACAACCAAAATGTGGTGAGTAAACATTATTTAAAATAATAGTTCATTAACAATTTGTGAAAATATAACAGTGACCATCGAGGTATAACGTCGAGGTCAAATGCATGTAGTTAATCTAAAAATTAATTTTGGTAGCACGTAAAATGCGGTTATTGCGGGTGGGTCATGAGAGGAACCTGCAGTAATATAGAGGCCCATGAATGTTTTCGGAATTACAACGAAGATCTCCATTTACTTCAGGTGGACAATGATCATATGGCAAGGATGAGTATGTATTGCTTTAACGTAATAAATTTCATTAGACAATACGATGGTAACATGCGTGATAGATCTTGTATATGATAATGATTTGAATTACAGCAAAACTTAAGACTTTAAGAGCTGGTTGTTCTACTTTTCGGTAAATTTATCTCTTAGGTAAATGTAACAATCCGCGCATGTGATTGGATAATATTGCTACTTACCTAACAGAAAATTTCCTGAAAGGTGGAACAACCGGGCCTTATGCAAATATAATAAAAAAAGTAATATATAATGTATATTTTTTGTAGTACCAAGAAACACATATGAAGAAAATAGCACTTTGAATACTGAAGTTGTTTCGTCGAAATATCCAAAATATTCAGGTGACGCAGCAAATGAATTATTAATAGAACTAGTCCAAGCAAGGCCTAGCTTGTGGAATCATACACTGCCATTGCAGGAGAGGACAAATATAAAAAAGGATGCTCTTTGGGCAGAAATCTCAAATGAGATGGGAGGTGGTATGTATACACAATACACTTGTTTATTGGTAAAATATAATAGATCTTATACATTCATAAATAATACAATTTTGTTTGAGAAACTTTTTCGTATGTATCCATTTTGTAATCACTTATATTTGAAATCTATTATATCTATTCTTTTAATTATTTATATATATAAAATTTCCTTTCTCGATAGGTGACATGACCGTAAAGTGGGTCAAAGAGCACTGGAAATATTTACGGGACGCATGAAAGCAAGGAAAGTAAGCAGACAGTACGTTCCCAGTGGATTCTCAACAGATTCTGCAAAAGCAATAAAGAAGCATTCGTTTCGCTTCTTTGAGCGAATGAAATTTTTGGATATCTCTTTACAAACAGAATCGTAAGTTATGATATATACGTTCAATACAAGGAAACCGAACATAATACATAATATGTAATATTAAATTGAAAATTTAATGTATCATTTTATATTACATTTTATACTACTATTTTACATTTTATATTACTATTTCATCTCTGCTGCCTTCATCTACTTCTTCTTCTTCGGAATCTCTAAATGTACCAGTGTATTCATCACAAAAGGAAAACATTGTCCCATTCAGAAATGAAAATATGGACTTGAATACAACAATTTTGCCATCCTCATCTCCATGCGCTTTCCGCACTACGCTAAATAAAACATCAAAGAATGCATATGTAAAACCACCAGTCAAGCGCAGTCCATTGGCATCAAATTTATCACCGATGAGAAAAGCGAAGAGTAAGTGATCTTAATTTCATTATATCCAGCATCATATTTTTACAAAAAAATGAGCCTGAATTTATTAACATTACTCTTGTCGCGGATGATACATTAATATGATTAAAGACCTTATGTATTTATTTTTTGCAGTACCCAAAGTGAGTCCGGAGTCTGAAGAAGTGCAATATGCTATCTTAGATGCTTTGCGGGAAGAACATGTCGGTTCGGATGCAATAAAAGGCATATTGCTTCGACTTGGCGAAGGACTACGTCGCCTTCCATACCGGAGAAGGGCGGAATTAGAGATTGAATGGCTACGACAACTAAGAGAAGCGGAACTAGAGTGCAATGAAATACCGTAAAGGGTACACATTACAAATGTAATAGTGTACATTTCATATGTTAATACATATATACTATTATTATGTATTGTTACATTATATGATGTAACGATGCACCCCCATAAATGCATCGTTCCCGGCATGAACAACTCGCCGGATGCCGCTACGGTGACCCCCGATCACCGATATGCGATGAGAGCGCGGTGCGCTCGGTATATTTTTAATAACGCAAACAAAATTCCAGGCCGCGAGACTCGCAAGTCCACGCAATCCGAGCGTCGCCGAACGACGCCGAGCGCCGCAGCTCTCGCTCGTATTGTTCCACGTCGAGAGTCACCGAATGATTCCGGAACAATACGAGCGGGAGCAACAAT